TTTCTCTCCAGAGCCTGGTGCAGGAGAAGTGCCCTGGCTTGAGCCAGGAAAACTCTCTCCCTGCAATGTCTCTCTAGCGCCCTCTGCCGACAAAGTGCAACGGCACGACAGCAGGCGAAGGAAACGTCTTTCAGGGGCCCGTCTTCATTTTAATTTCACAGAATTGGCCATAGGATGACTTTGAAGTGGAGGGGCAATACATCCACACATCCCACAGGCACCGAATAGACACGCGGGTGCCTACTGTGGGGCAGGGACTGTGCTGCATGTTGGCCTCCGGATGTGTTTTTTTCTGTTTGTGTCCACTTATTGGGTATGTACTATTCGTCACTCCTGGTCTAAGCACTTAAGTGTACAAACTCATGCAATCTTCACAGCAACCCTGTAAAGTAGTGCTATTACCCATCCCTAATATTACAGACAAAGAAACGGAGACACAGAGAATTAAGTAACTCACCCAGCATCAGCTAGTATGTGGCAGAGCCAGGAATCGAACCTGGTTGTCTGTCTCCATTTGCTCAACTGTGCGGTCACACCTCTCAGTGTATCTCTGCGGCCCCGAATCACGCACCCCCTTCTGGGCTACCCCCTGGCCACTCCCGTGTCCATGCTGTGGGCCAAGAGGCTTCATATTAAGGTAAAGAAAAACCCTCATCACTCTCCATTACCCAAACATTATCCCAGGTTCCAGAAAGCACAAGGGAGGACTTCATTTGGGCTTAGCATTTCGTGCATCATGGCGTGGTGAGTCCTTCCTGCCTGCTTGGTGGCAGCAAAGGACACCTTTCTTTGTAGGCATCCATGTGTGACGTGTGACATGTCTCCATAAGGCATGAAGTCCACCAGAATGGGGAAGTGTGTCTCTGACCAGCCACATTCGGCTCATTGTGTTTATTTATGCACTGCCCTTCTTAAACTGCAGTCATAGACTTGAGATATACTGCCAGCAGCCAAGTGAACTTTTCTTAATTTTTTTTTAAAAAAATCTTTCTTTTTTTAAAATATATTTTATTGATTTTTTACAGAGAGGAATAGAGAGTCAGAAACATCGATCAGCTACCTCCTGCACATTCCCCACTGGGAATGTGCCCACAACCAGAGTACATGACCTTGACCGGAATCGAACCTGGGACCCTTGAGTCCACAGGCTGACACTCTATCCACTGAGCCAAAACCGTTAGGTCAAGTGAACTTTTCTTATCATGTCTTCTTTACCCTGGGAGTCCTTTCTCCAGCAATGGCAGTGTCTTTGCCCTGTTTTCAAGTTGCTGTGCCCTTTATACGAGTGCATTTCCGATAAGTCCCTGACTGATGCCATTGCTGCAGCTCTGGGGACCACACGTGAGTAGCAAGAGATTGTGCAATATATCTAAGGAAGAGAGGAAGCTGGTTTACGTCTCTACGGTAACAGGATCCATTTCCTAAAACCCAGAAACGAATTTTTATACCCCAGGTTTGATGTGTAGTGCCTTAGAGTTCCTCTTAATATGTCTTGAACACAGACCTCTCTAAGGCCTTTAGTGACCAAGGGTTAGGGGCGGGGCTGGGGGTGAAGGGGATTAACTGACAGAACCAAATCAGGGACAGTCATGGCAAGTCACTCATTCCACTTAATACTGGAAACCACAAGGATAACAACTCAGAACCAACAGAATCGATAACAATAACACCATAGTTAGTAAGACAAATAGTAATGCGTTTCATGAGATACTAATATTTTTAAAACATTAAGTATAATGGACAGATAATTTATTTTATATTGAGTTGACCCCTAATTGCTTGAGGGTAGAGAGATGGTATGTTTCTAAAAGGCACTATTTGGTACATAAGACCTTGATAATCTTTTTCTCTTAAAAGAATGAAAAAATATTCAAATGGCATTAAAAGCCTTAAACAAGGTAAAATGAGACATACAGGACTACAACATAACTTGGTTCAGCCCAAGAGACATTTACGTAGCATTAACTGTAGACTCTGTGCAGTGGTGTGGGTAGAAAGATGTCCTGAGGGAGTCTTAAAAGACACTCATATTGACCCTTAATTTTATATATAGGAAAGCCAGGGAAGCCAGGGGACCACAGGTTCATGTGGAGAATGGGCAAAACTGGGAGAAAGGAGGCAACTGGGGAGCTCAGTAGGCCCAGAGCCAACGAATGAGGTCTTGAACTTGGGCAGTGGAGGAGGGATGAAAAGGGAGAGGCAAATCTGAGCAATGTTCAGGAAGTAAAACTACAGGAGTTTGTGGCAGGCTGTGGGTGCAGGAGGTTGGAATGACATGCGGGTTTTTGGCTTGGGTGACTGTAAATGATGGTTAAATGAGATGAGGAAAGGGGTGAAGTTAAAGCGGCAGGAGAGAATGTCTTCAGTTGAGCACTTATTAGGTTAGGGGAGCCTGTGAGATAGCCAAGTGCATGTTGAACAGCAGTTGGATGTATGTCAGGGTCTTGGGGTAGAGGTTAAAGTAGACAAAGATATTTTGAAGTTACTGACAAAGCAGGAGAAGATATAGATGGGGAAAAAAAGTAGAAAGTCATGGATGGAGCTTTGAGAAATGCTAATTATGAGGAGTGGACCAAGGAGAGGGGATGGACTGGCAGATGTTACCCACGAAGCCTGCTGCCTGCTTGCACTGGCCCCTGACA